GGGTGTGTTGGAAGTGGACCCAGTGGAGGGGGTCCTGGCTGGTGCAGGCCGTGCCGCACTCGCACTGCGGCCTGTTCTCGGCCTGGAGCAGCAGCTGCTCCTGATCCACGCTCGGTTCTTTGTCTTTCTCTTTGACGTGTTTGTGATTCTTTTTCGCTTCCTTCTTGTCCTTGCCCGACGGGGACGACGTGGCCGATGTCGAGGGAGATGAAGAAGCGGGGTCTCGCATGGTCCTGCTCAATTTGGATGATGGCGAATTGGAATTGCTGGAAATTCCATCTTTTACCGAGCCCAGGAGCGATGAGGTGGACGCCGAGGCCTCGTGGTACGACTGAAGGGTCTTGGCCTTATCCTTCCTCTCGCTCATATCTCTTCTCTCGGCTGATCCCAATGAGATCAGTTCCGTGACAGCGATCGAGTTTTATTATTTAAATTATTATTAGTATTAATGAAAAACGTGGAAACCTCACAAGGCCAAATTGAAGCAACCATCATTAAGTTTTAAGAGGGCGGTGGCGGCTCATCGTTTCCTGACTTTCAGGCGATCGAGTTGAAGAAGGCGCACTGGGCCGTCTGGATCGGCGCGTTGTCAATGCACCACGACGACCCGCTCTCGATGAGAAGGTAGGACCTTGACGCATGGCCGCCGTGGCCGTGGCCGTGGCCGTGGCCGTTGCCGTGGCCGTTGCCGTTGCCGTTGCCGTTGCCGTTGCCGTTGCCGTTGCCGTTGCCGTTGCCGTTGCCGGTAAGCCCGCGGGTGTAGGGCTTCCAGCCGTCGATCCTGGGGTTGCCTTGGTCGCCAGCGACGACCAGAACGACTGTAGGAGCTCCATGAGCGGCATCTCGGCCGGCGTGGTCTCCGGGGTGAAGAGCGCGCAGTAGCCCGGCGCGGGCGCGTTGAGCACGCAGCCCTGCTGGGTCAAGTAGACCACGTCCTCGTTGCGGTGGGCGCCATAGTAGGCCGGGAACCACGAGGCCTCGTAGGTCCAGTGGTACAGCCAGGCCTCCCGGTGGTGTCGGCGGGCAGGGCCTCGAGCCACGCGACGACCAGGCACCAGTGGTACCAGTCGGTGTCGATCTTGGCCATGGCCGCGTAGTAACTGGGATAGGCGCCCTGGCCCGACCCAACCGGGTAGAGCTGGGCCAGGGCGTCAATGGCCTCGGCGCCGAACATGGAGGTGACGTAGTCCGTAGTAGGCGTCGAACGCAGCGCGGGTGTTGGACGCGGCCGCCGCGGGCGGGAAGGTCTTCTGGCTGAGCACCGTCGACTCGTTGTTCATCAGGCCCAGAATGGTGGGCACGCGGTTCATCAGGCCCTGGCGCACCCGCTCGATCGGCTGACCCAGGATCACGACGCCGTCGACGGCCGGCCGCGGCTTGGCCAGCTCGGCCAGCGTGGCCTGAACCGCCATGATGGACGCAATGGGGCCGCGCGCAGGCACTCGCGCATGGCCTCGGCCGCGCTGCCTCAGCCCAGGGCGTCGACCACCTTCTGCATGGTGTCGGTGATCCAGCTGACGGGCTCGAGCAGCTTGGCGGAGTTGCCGACGCCCGACTGGCTGGTGGCGCGGTGGTAGAGGCCGTCGCTGGCGGGCGACACGGTGTGGATGGCCACCGAGATGGCACCGGCCGACTGACCGGTGATGGTCACGGACCGCGGGTCGCCGACGAGCGCGCGGATGTTGTCGCGCACCCAGAGCAGGGCCTGGCGCTGGTCCATGAGGTTGTAGTTGCCGATGGTACGACTCGGCCTGGAACGCGGCGTGGCCCAGCAGGCCGACGATGCCCAACCGGTCCTGAGGCACCACGATGGCGTTGGTGTCCGGTTGGCCAGGCGGTCGCCGATGAAGTTCAACTGGCCACCACCTCGGAATGCGCCGCCGTGCCAGAACACCACCTTTTCAAGAAAGAGTGAGTTATAGAGCAGACAACACGGCACGACACGACACGCACCACGTCGCGCTTGGCCCGGCGGTCGCGCTCGAACGAGAGGGGCACGTAGACGCTGGCGTAGAGGCAGTCCTCGGCCCACGCGCCGTTGTTCTGGGTCGGCTGCGGGCAGGTGAAGGGCGCCACGGTCGCGTTGCGCACCCCGGACCACGGCTAGGCCGCCTGCGGAGGCGCGAAGCGGAGTTGGCCGACGGGCGGCGCGGCGAAGGGGACCGCGCGGAACTGGAAGCCGAGCTCGGTACGGACACCGAGCTTGCCGAGCGGGGTGTTCACGACGACATCGTAGCCTGCGGCCCCGAAGTTGGCTTCAAAAAAAAAAGAAAGAATTCAAAAAAAAAGAAAAAATCAAACAAAAGAGAAAAAGAAAAAAAAGAAAAAATAATATACCTCCACGGGTTCTGAGATACAACATTGAATATAATTGCAATTTTTTTCACACTTTTGCCGACACAGAAGATGGCTGGTGTTGTGGAGACGATTGCCTTTGGCCAGGTGCGGAAGGTTCAAAATCTCCCTGCACGATTAATCTCATTCACCTCCTTCTACACCAGCACAACGTGCGAGCCAGTCAAATCTTCTTCCGGAGCTCTCTGTCCTACGGCCTGGTTAATCTCATGCCCCTCGTGCCAGGTACTTCGTCTATTTATTTTTATATATTTCAGTGTGTATTTTTTTTTCTTACATTTCCACAATTAATAAATAATTAAATGATGTAAAATACTCACGCTTCTTGCTGGGCAGGCCACGTCCTAGTGATCTCCCAGAGGAGAGGTACGTAATGTATTCCCTCGTGTCTGTCGGCTGCGGGCTGGTGATGGTTGACCCGCACTCGCCAGTGGCCCGATTCCGCGACCTCACGCCTCCTGAGGTGAGCGACCTGTGGACCTCCGGTTCGGCCGCTTCTTCCACGCGTCGCTCGCACCGCACGCGCACACACAACACATGCCGCACGACACGCGCGCCCAATTCGCTTTGGCCTGCGGCTGACGAGCTGCTTGGTGCAGCTCAACGGATCGGTGAGGTGGTGGAGCGACATTACAAGGGCGACGCCCTCACCATGGCCATCCAGGACGGCGCTGCCGCCGGCCAGACCGTCAGTACGCATGCGCGATACCCTGGCTGGCCAGCCCAGCCCAGCCATCTCACCGTGCTTGATTGATGTGTTGCGTTCCATTGTGTCGCACGCGTGTGCGTGTGCAGGCCACGTGCATATCCACGTGATCCCGCGAAGGAGAGGCGACTTTGCGCGTAACGATGAAGTGTACGAGCGGGTTCGTGTCTTCTTCTTCCTCCTCTCGTCCAGGCGACTTGTTGTTGTTGGCGCTCTCGATCTCACCCTTCGCTACGTGTGCCTGCAGTTGGACATGGACAAGGACCGAACGAAGCGCACCGAGGAAGAGATGGCCGAAGAGGCCGCCCTCCTCGCCCGCTACTTCGACGATGGCAACACCAACAGCACTGACGGCGCCACTTCGCCATAGTAGCAAAATAAATAAATAGCCTCTTGTTGTCAAAAGAAATGAGACAAAAAAACTCTATTGGTCTTATTTTACGAAAATGCACAAAGTTGTGCTTTTTGTTTACTGCTCGAGCTCCTTGCGGGCGAACTCGGGGAGGACGAAGGAGGCGCAGTGGACGTGCTCGTTGTAGTACCTGAGCTTGTCGGCGGGCAGGGTCCTGACGGGCTCCTTGGGCGACTGGTCGCGCTCCGAGAGGATGGCGAAACCGATCTGACCGCACGGGTAGGTGGGGATGGTGGTGAACGCATACTCGGCGTGCTTGAACATCTCCTTGGACTGGACCATCAGGCGCTTGATGATGTCCATGTGGAGCCACAGGCACTCGGCCTGGGTGGCGGCGATGCCACCCTCGCGGAGGGCCTTCTTGATGGACTGGTAGAAGGGCTTCTCAAAGAGGAACTCGGCCGGGCCGACGGGATCCGACGAGTCGACGATGATGACGTCAAAGTGCTTCTCGTGCTCATCCATGAACTTGACGCCGTCGCCGACGTGGACAGTCACGCGGGGATCGGTGTAGCCGATCGAGGTACCGGGCAGGTACTTCTTGGCGGCCTCGATCACGACCTGCAGATTGGAATGGCAAAGTAGAAGAGAAGATGATGAGAAAAGATTTTACACAGAGTAGAAGAAAGAAAAATCGACATCGACGTTTCGTGTTCAGAGAAGCAGAATTACTAATTTAATCATTAGATTATCATCGAGCTGGGTTTATATGAGGTCATCCTAAGGAAACGTGTAGGGCACAGACACACAACAAATAAGAGAGAATGGCAGTGTTGTGTACCTTGTCGATCTCGCAGATGGTAATCTCCTTGACGGAGTCGTGCTTGGCGATCTCACGGAGGACACCACCATCACCACCACCGATCACGACCACCTGTAGAAGAGAACGACGTGAATTCACACATCAAGGATGATTCAATTAAAAATAAATTAAATTGTAAGTGACCGAATATTCTACGGGAACAGGGGGTCGCTGCTCCAACAGATTGTCACGGACTTTGTGGTTTGTTATTGGAGAGTTTATATAGAGCCAAGGTCACTATATTCAAACCTTGTTCCCGGAAACCTTCCGATGAGAGAGCAGTGTTGCAGTGTAATGCTAAATTTGGGGCGGCAAATAATCGTTGAAGATGATGGATGGTGAGGGGGGAGACAACGTACCCGCTCGGGGTTGGGGTGAGCGCAGAGGGCGAGGTGAGCGAGCATCTCCTGGTAGGAGAACTCGTCACGCTCGGTGACCTGGATGACGCCGTCGAGGACGAGCACGTTGCCGTAGGTCTTCGACTTGAACACCAGAACGTCCTGGGACAAGCAAAAAACAAAGATTAGATTAAAAATCGATCGGAGATTGAATCCGGAGATCTTCCGGCAACAAATCGCGATTGAAAATCGGACAAGTTAGGTACCTGGTAGTCGGACTTCTGGGAGAGGAGGACCTCCTCAACTTCCAAGCTCATGGCCTGACCTGGACGAGCAAGCACACAAAGGGTCAGTTGCTTCCTAATCGCAAGGACAGGAGTTCGCGAGGTAACACAATCCAATCGTACCAAGCCTAAAACTAGTAGATCAAACTAAATTGTAGAGATGATGATTAGAGCGTACCGGGCCACATGGGGTGACCGGCCTCCGAGAACCATCCGTTCATGATCTTGTCCATGTCTGCGGTTGTGAAGTGGGGTGTGTGGCGGAGCTGAGTAGAGGGGACAAAGAACCAAGTGCCCGCACCCCAACAGAGTTTCTTTGAGCCGGAGCCGAACCACGATTTATCCGACAAAACAGTTCGTCGACAGAGAAAATGAGTGGAATTGCATATTTCGCGAGTCGACATTTTTCACCAGTGACTGGGCATGACGTCAGCAAAGAAAGGGGGACGATTTTCCTTGATGACTTTCCTGGCCAATGGGCGGGTGCGGGCTGAGGGATTGGGCGCCCCGATAAATGAAGCAAAGGCGCAAAGGCACACTGAGATTGTACGCAACCGCAACACTAACAAGATGATGAAGTTCCTCCTCGCCTTCGCCGCCCTCGCGCTTTTCGTCCAGCTGGCCGCCGCCGGCACCCGCGCCCACGCCGCCGTTCCTCACCGTTACCTCGCCGTACGCCTCTCTCGCTTTCGTTCTTTTGCATATCTCTTCCCAATTCAATTCAATCTTCCATCTTCGTCATCTTGGCCCTTTATTGTTCAAGATTGTCAAGAATCAATGATTAATTTCCTCAATTTCTGAAACAATCTCTTCATTTTGTTTGGTAAATGAAAACGTGCAGGGCGCTTGCAATGACGCCCAGGACCTCGGTGCGTTCAAGTCCCACTGGGGTACCTTCCAGAACAGCGTCGACCAGTGCGCCACGGGCTGCCTCGGCGGCGCCGACTGCTCGTCGAGCTGCATCCAGAAGGCCATCGGCCTCACCCAGGCCTGCGCCACCTGCTTCGGCCAGGGCGTCGCCTGCGTCGCCACCAACTGCTACTGGAAGTGTCTCAACCCGGCCTCGCCCGGCTGCGCCCAGTGCTCCATCCAGCACTGCGAGGCTCCCCTCCTCTCCTGCGCCGGTGTGCCCAAGAGCGACATCCCCATGTAAAAAGACGACCTCTTCGTCGTCCTTCGTTCTTGGCAATGAAAAAGCGACAGAGCTTCATTTTTAGTCCCCTCGCTCTTTTTGTGCGCCACTGCTGGCTGACGAGAGGCGGCGGCATACTTGGTCATCCACTGCAGTCGAGTAAGATCGTGGCGGACTAGGGACGGTTGGCCGAATTGTGGCCATAAGGTCATCGAGGTCCGCACCTGATGCACGCTGGCACATCGCAACCTGACACGCAACCGGAAACCTTAACTGATGACGTAACGCCGGTCTCTTGGCACCTCCAGCCTATCTCCCCGGGCGAACCACCTTGGACAAGCTTACAAACGACTACCACTCAAACCCAAACACACCAAACGCAACACCACCACAACGAGAAAGATGAACGCTCAAGAAGCTCTGTCCGCCCACTCAATCCAACAGGGATCCGCCACATTGCCCTACACGACCTCGCAACTGCTTCAACAGGTCGGTTGATGGTTCTGCTGTCGAACAGCCTGTAACGTGACTAAGGGGCAGCCCCTCTTCTCCTGGTCAGGTGGCGGCCGTGGCCAACGAAACGGTCCTGCTGAGCCGCAAGCGGTGCCACGGGCGTCTTTCCGAGGCCCAGGAGGCACTACTCGGCCACTACATCGATTTTCTCAAAGAACGCGCAGAGCATCTCCATCTTCGTCATCATCTTCAAGGATCCAGCCTCCAGACGCCCGAGGCACTCGTCGAGCCACACACGACTCCAAACACCAGGTCTTCTTCTTCTTCTTCTTCCTCCTCAGTTCATCGCAAGTCTCGCCGTACGAAGCGTCTCTTTCACGACCGGGCGTGCAACCATTGTCACACCCACTTCACGAGCCAGTGGCGCGCTGGCCCCATGGGTCCATCATCGTACCGCCCCCCTCTTCTCAAGTCATCATTTCTCTCCACCTCAGAAGTTTGTGTTTGCATTAGTTAGCGGATTGTTGGACCATAACCTAATGTGTGTGTGGCCGCTAGGTTGTGCAACGCGTGTGGTCTCAGGTACGCCCGACGAGACAGGCACCACAGCGCGACCGAAGCTCTGCCTGCCATGCCCATGCCCATGACCACCGCCAACACCACGCCGTCTTCGCCACCCCAGCAGCAGCAGCCAGGCTGCACCGCCGCACATCCCGAAACTTCTCGGCCCCACCGAGCAAGCCTGAGCTACCTCCTCAACTGAAAGCTGTTGGCTCAGCGTTACTCAACCATGGCTGTCATGACAAACGATAAACGGGCATTCACATGTTCTCTTCCCCGATTTATTGCCTTTTACTGACAAAAATTGTCCCTCAACTGCCTTCCGCCTTGCCGGCACCGACTTCATCATCACCCCTCACTATTGACCGGAAGGCCGACGTCTCAGGTGCTAATTGACCAATGGGCCGGACCCATCTTAAGTGCGCTGGCCAATGGCAAGGGGGCTGAGCTGTTCTGTGGGCGAGCACCGGCCAGCTTGGGGGTTCTTGTTTGTCTCCTTCAACTTTCGCCTGGTTTCAGATTCGAAGATGGAGGGATGTCACAAGATCTTGCCTCGTTTGCGAGCTCTGAGGAGGAGATCAGCAGATTTCTTTTTGCTCTAGCGCGAAGTGCAACATCCGTCTTCTAATTACTGAGTACTCAACATACATCTACGATCCACACCATGCTGCTGCGAAAATCTCAAAGCGTGACCTGCTTCCGATTCGGACGGCATGCTCGCACGTCATCCCTCATGACCCTTGTCCCCTCTGCCGTCGCAGCCGCTACACAAGGTCCCCCCCTCAAGATTCATCTTTTTTTC